GTTTTTATATTATAGAGCTAGGCGAGATTTCAAATGGCCTATTAGCTCAGTTGGTTAGAGCGTCTTGCTAATAACGCGAAGGTCGCAGGTTCGAAACCTGCATGGGCCATTGTTTTTTTTTTTATTTGGATGCTAAAATTAAGAATAAAAAAGAAAGGATATACGCAGGTTCGAAACCTGCATGGGCCATTTCTTTTTTTATTTGGATGCTTTTAATTAAGAATAAAAAAGAAAGGAAAAATAGGAGAAAATAAATCTTTAACTTTCCTTTTTCTAAATCTAAATTGTTAGAAAAGCTAAGAAAAAAAATGACAGAAGTTTGCCTATTAAAAAAGTCTTTGTTTTTGTGGTTATTTCTGTTTTTAAAGCAAATCATGAAAGAAAAACTGTTTGGTGACTGACAAAATATAATTTGTCGTTTGTGGGATCCAACGCAGGGCAGCGGAAAGTAGCTTGAAGCTGTTTCTTCATGTTCTGTCGTTCTTCGCACAGTGGAGAGACTGTTTACTTTTGTAGAGTGAACAGTGAATTACCTGCACATGTTTTTGGATTCCTCTTTCTTCTTTTTTTTCGGCAGACTTTTGTATTTGCTCTTAAGCTTTGGCGAGTTAATCAATTAGTTAACGTCCCATATTGTCATGTATTCACTTGATCATCTCACAGTTTCTGGCAGACCTTATTTCATTTCTTAAAGGTCAAATACTTGGCAGCGAGCATTTCTTTTTGGTACTCATATTTTGCTTTTGATTTGGGAAAGGTCACCTACTAAATGCAGCCCACAATTTGGCCATCATCATCGTATTATTCATAATTTTATCAATCTGGTGAGTTTTCTCACAGCTTATTGTGATTTCTCTCTGAATGTTTTTGTATCACAATTATAGGAAGCCATCTAGTTTGTACTCTACAACGGTTGGTTTATGAGGAAATTGTTTCATTACTTGAGGAGAAATGATAAGTTGACTATTGAAGTAAGCATCAATCTAGCTTTTATTGATCATCTCATGCACTGCATTTTCTGAGACGTGGCGAACTACCAAATTTTCGTTCTGCTACCCATTGTATTTTCCCTTTTTATCAAACTAATAATTGTGTTGATTTTGCAAGCTATTGTCTTGAAATTTGTTTTCTTTTTCTTTGCATGTTACGGTGTCATGGACGGACCTGCAAGTCAAATCCAAGATCTATGCATTTATTGGAACTCAATGTGCAGCAGCCATGTACATATTGGACTGATCATCTGCATGTAGTTTGACTCTGTGAATGCTAGCGAGAGCACCTACAGAAAGAAGGTTGCTCAAGTTGCATTGTCTTGGTGTGTATTGATTTGGCTTGTATTTTCCTTTTAGCTTATTATAGCAGAGGCTAGTTTCTTGTCTGATAGAGAAGCTGGGGATCTTGCTCACCATGCTATCGTGGGTTTCTTCATCGTTCATTTCTGCTCACTTATTCCCCGGCACCCAAAATGCACGCGGGACAACTGTGGCTCCAAGTTTCCTCTGACAGGGAGAGCTCGATGCACTAGCATGATCGAAGGGACCGAGCTCCCTAAATCAAGTTGTCTCAATGGAGATTTGGACCTCATTTGCGTTTGCTCTTAAAAGGGAGCTTAAATCTGTAATGTATAGAAGTTCTATCAGTAGCAGTAGCACCATCTTGTCTAAGGCTATTTTTGCATATTAGCTTGGTTTTTTTTTTTAAAAAAAGAGTAAAATAACATTTTTAAAAAAGAATTGTATATATCTTGATTGAAAAATATAACTTTTAAACTTGTTGCTATTGACATTTCACATATATTATGAAATGAGTTGTATAAATTATGATGATGACAGAAAAAAAGAAATTAAAAAAACTTTGATATTAAATATATTAAAGTTGATATTAAATATATTCTAAAAACTTAATTTGATATATATATATATATATATATATATATATATATATTAAAGTTGTGGTTATAACACCATTAATATTATAAAAATATTTTAATGAGATAAATATAATAATATAAAAAAATATGTAATGACCCAAGTTGGTCACATTTACTGCTAAAAAATAGCGGGGACTCATTCGCTTTCAGTTAAAAAAAAAAACATTAATTAGAAAATGAAGTTTAGATTTTTCCTAATAATGAAAATTTTAACAAATCTTTATTTTAATTATTGCTGCTAATATAAAATATATTTTATTCAAAAAAACACATGAATAAAAAAAGAATAATTCTTTTATAAAAATATATATTTAAAAAAATTATTTTTTAATTCAAATATCTATTTTAAATGTACAGAAAATTGAATAAAAAGAGATTTCGACAAATGGTCTGCAACATCATGCGAGAAAATAATTGTTCTTGGATAAAATAATAATTTCATCCTCTAAGTTTTAGTTTTACATTTTGGTCTTTGTAACTTCGATGTTCACGATAATTATAATCTTGAACTTTGTTTTGCATTTGTCCATTTTATAGAAAAAGGTTAAATTTGGTCCCTCTATTTTTTTGAATCTTTCATGTATGTTTAAGATGTTTATATATCAATCCCAACACGTCATCATCCTCACGAGATGACTTTGTAGCTTGAGAAAAGTTCAATTTAGTTTTTCAATTATTTGATTTTGAATTTCATCCCTAACGTTTCCTAGTATTACATTTTTAGCCCCTATATTTTTAGGTTTTCACATTGTAATCCAAAAAAAGAAGAAGAAGAAGAAAATTTCCGTTGCATTTCTCTATTTTAATGTTGAGAGAGAAGAGAATATTTTAGGGAGAGGAGAGAAAATGATTTTAGCTAGCCCCATTCCACCAACAAAAAGATTGATCTTTATGTTTATAAATTTATTTTTATACAATAATTCAATTTAGATTATTTTTCTCTTTAAATCAGGGTCTATTAGTTTATTTATTTAATTTTTTAGCTTTGGACTAATTAAATATTGTTTTTGAGTTTGAAAATGAGGTTATTATTATTCTTAAAATATTTTAATTTTAATTTTTTGCTATGACAAGTTGAAATTTAGGTGTTTACGGACTAAAAATCATGTTGTTGATAAAAAAAGAAATACATATTTCGTTAAAACAAGAAAAATATGAATAAATAAAAAATTGGAATTTTGACTAAATAAAAAAATTATTGCTGAAATTTTAATTATTCAAACTCTTTCAAATATTTATTTTAATATCTACAAAATTAAATAAAAATTAATTTTTAAAATGTTCTTGCTACCTACTCATTTACCTTTATTCCATGGTTTATTACAAATATATTATTATAAACAAGTAGGATTCAATTAACTTCTAACTTTAAACTCATATTTTTTTTGTCTTTTACTATGAAGATTAACTTCTAACTTTAGTCTTTTAATTAACATTCATAACTCTTTTTAAAGATTTCTCTGTTTGTATTTATGAATTTATTATATTAAGTGCATTTATCATCTTTTCACTAGTTGATTAATAAATTGTATGGTGTAATAAAACACATTTATGTTATCCTTTCTAATATTAGAAATTAATTTAAAACTATTCTTGCAGCTCACCGTGTGCACGATTATAGTATTATAATAAAAACATTGTTGAATTACTTGTATATTTAATTTGTGTTTGATATTATGTGGTTGTATATTTAATTTGTGTTTGATATTATTGTGTAAAATATTTTTTACATAAAAATATATTAATTTTTTTTATATATTAATATGTCAAAACCATAAAAAGCACTAAAAAAAATATTAATCCTTTTAAAAAACCAAACTTTCAAATTCTGCATTTCTACTAAATATAAAATCTTAAGAAGTACTTGATGTTGTAGTGTAGCGGAGAAAAGAATTTGTTTTTTTTATATATCTAGATTTATTTATTTTTTGTATATATTTGTCACCTATATGATATTTTATTTATTAATATTTATCCACTAGGATTACTGGATATCCAGTAAACTTGAAGATTAATAATAATATATATAAATTAATTCAAATACCTCGGGTTAAAAAAAATCTCTTAAAAAAACAATGTACGTTTACCGTTTATGTGTTAAAAACATGTGACGAGCGCCAGGAACGCATGAGCATGTATCATCTTGGCTTTGTTGATTTTACACCCATTATATTAAAGGGAGTCGGTGGATATTATTATTTATATTATTATTTATGATGCAAATGAAATTGTCAAGTATTGTTACAAAAAAACAAGAAGAAGAAAAAGAAGCACTGTTGTGTTGTGAATTCTTGAAGCTGACGGAAGTAACAGCAAATTTAAGGTCTTTTAAATAAAATAAAAAATATATAAAATAGTAACTTGATAGCTACGAAAATTTACCCTTAAAAAAAATCTTTAAAATTTTTTATAAATTTTTTTATAAAATGTTAGCATAATTCAATAATTAGATTGAAAATTATTATCTATTATCATAGATTACATATTTCACTGAAATCTGTTTCACATCAATTTTGGACTAAATATTTTGAAAAATACTTTTACAAAAATTTAAATTATTTATTTTTAATTAATATATTTTTAATATTTTCAAATTATTTTAATGTATTAATATTAAAAATAATTTTTTTAAAATAAAAAATTATTAATATATATTTTAACATAAAATATTATTTAAAAAATAATTATAACCGTTCTACCAAATAAGTTTTAAACTTGGTTAAATATGCGGTTAATTGCATTAACAAATGCATTTTTAGAACGTGCTTAATATTACAATTAAATTTTTGTTTCTAAAAACTTATTTATTTTTATTTAAAATTATTTTTTTAAAATAAAAAAACTTATTTATTTTTATTTAAAATTATTTTTTTTAAATAAACATTTTTAAATAATAATAAAATATTATTTTAATATATTTTTAAATAAAAATATTTTAAAAAATAGTTGTCATGGAAAGACGCTAGTAATCTTATGGTTGATATGTCGATTTAAAGGGCTGGAATTAACAAAAACTAAATATCTGAGGACCATATGATGTAATTACTAATTCACCCGTTTAGCAATTTGCCATGTTTATGTGTTCGGCTTTTCATGCCTGTTTTCTTGCAAAGAGAAGGGGCACATTGTCCAGTCCATGAGCCAAAATGACTAGCCAACTGCTGGAACCCATTGCTTGCCCACCATCACCACCTGACCATGTCCCCAACATTCCTCACAACCTCACTGCCCTTTCCTTTCAGAAACTGAAGCAAGCCCATCAACCGGTTAACATTTCTCAGCAAAAAAACCAGTCCAATTTCTCTCTACTAGACAATAAGCCGTTAAATACAAGCAAGTATGCTTCAGTTCTTGATTCTTGTAAATGCCCAAAACTGGGAAAACAGGTTCATGCTCACACAATCAAAACTGGGTTTGATGCTGATGGATTTGTAGATACCAAGTTGCTGCAAATGTATGCAAGGTGTGGTTTGTTAAAAGATGCAGACTTTTTGTTTGAAACGATGCCAAGGAGAAACTTGCATTCATGGAAAGCAATTCTTAGTGTGTATTTGGATCATGGGCTGTTTGAGGAAGCGTTTTTACTCTTTCAAGTATTGCAATTTGACGGTGTTGAATTGGATTTCTTTGTGTTTCCTTTAGTGTTTAAGGCTTGTAGTGGCCTTGGTAGTGTAGAACTAGGGAGGCAGTTACATGGGTTGGTGATAAAGTTTCGGTTTTATTTGAATATTTATGTGAGTAATGCTTTGATAGATATGTATGGTAAATGTGGAAGCTTGGACGATGCTAAGAAAGTTTTAGTAAAGATGCCTGAAAGAGATAGTGTAACATGGAATTCTGTTATAACAGCTTGTGCTGTTAATGGGATGGTTTATGAGGCATTGGAGTTTTTGGAGAAAATGAAGACTTTAGATTATTCTATGCCAAATGTTGTTTCTTGGAGTGCAGTTATAGGAGGGTTTTCCCAGAATGGTTATGATGAGGAAGCCATAGAGATGCTATTTAGAATGCAAGTAGAAGGGCTTATACCGAATGCTCAAACCTTGGCGAGTGTTCTTCCAGCATGTGCTAGATTACAAAGGCTTGACCTTGGAAAGCAACTCCATGGTTATATCACGAGACATGATTTTATCTCTAACCCTGTTGTGGTGAATGCATTAGTTGATGTGTACAGGAGGTGTGGTGATATGGGAGGTGCGGCTAAGATCTTTTTAAAATTCTCAGTGAAAAATGTATTATCTTGTAATACAATGATTGTTGGATATTGCGAAAGCGGTGATGTCTCCAAGGCCAAGGAGCTCTTTGATTGCATGGATGTTTTAGGAATAGAAAGGGATTTAATTTCATGGAACTCGATTGTTTCAGGTTACGTTAGAAACTTCATGTTTGATGAAGCTTTCAGCATGTTTCAGAATTTGCTAACGGAAGAAGGGATTGAGCCAGATTCTTTTACTTTAGGGAGTGTTTTGACTGCTTGTGCTGATACAATTTCTTTGAGGCAAGGGAAGGAGATACATGCCCAAGCCATTGTCAAGGGCTTGCAATCGGATACCTTTGTTGGTGGGGCTCTGGTGGAAATGTACTCTAAATGCCAGGACCTAACGGCTGCCCAGATGGCTTTTGATGAGGTGATGGAGAAGGATGTGCCAACATGGAATGCTCTGATCTCAGGCTATGCTCGCAGTAACCAGATTGAAAGAATTCAATATCTTCTTGAGAAGATGAAAGGAGATGGTTATCATCCAAACATTTATACATGGAACAGCATTCTTGCAGGTCTTGTGGAAAACAGACAGTTAGATTTAACGATGCAGTTGTTCTCTGAAATGCAGATCTCAAAGTTGAGGCCTGATATTTACACAGTTGGAATAATTCTCCCTGCTTGCTCGAGGTTGGCCACTCTTGAGCGAGGAAAACAAGCTCATGCATACTCAATTAAATGTGGTTATGACACAGATGTCCACATAGGAGCAGCCCTTGTGGACATGTATGCAAAATGTGGAAGTTTAAAGTATGCACAGTTAGCCTATGATAGGATATCAAACCCTAATTTGGTGTCCCACAATGCCATGCTTACTGCATATGCGATGCATGGACATGGGGAAGAGGGAATTTCTCTCTTTCAAACAATGCTGGCCTTAGGTTTTATACCAGACCTTGTGACTTTTCTGTCTGTTCTCTCCTCATGTGTTCATGTTGGATCAGTCGAGACAGGCTGTAAGTTTTTTGATTTGATGGGGTATTATAACGTTAAACCCACATTAAAACACTACACATCTATGGTTGATCTTCTAAGTCGTTCAGGACAGCTTCATGAAGCTTATGAGCTTATAAAGAAAATGCCCGTGGAATGTGATTCAGTTTTGTGGGGTGCTTTGCTTGGGGGCTGTGTTACTCATGGTAATATTGAGTTGGGAGAAATTGCAGCAGAGAGGCTGATAGAATTGGAGCCAAACGATAGTGGAAACTATGTTTTACTGGCTAATTTACATGCTTATGCTAGGAGATGGACTGACCTAGCTAGAGTAAGAGGCATGATGAAGGATAGGGGAATGCACAAGAGCCCTGGATGCAGTTGGATCGAGGACAAGAATGAAGTTCATTCCTTTCTTGCTTGTGACAGATCTCATAAGAGAGCAGAAGAGATTTATGCTACTCTAGATTACTTAGCCCTTCACATGAAAACAGGGATAGTACAGGGGTTATGTCAGTATACAACAAGCTAGCATGTGATACCTATACCAGCATTGTACAAATTTCTATAGCATGTGAGAATACAACTGCTGTTGTCTGAAGACCTACAAACTACTTTTTATGAGAGGTGATCTTCAACTTAACGATGGAAAGTTGCCTTTCCTTCGTTGATATCGGCAGAAAATCTTATCTTTAATATTCTGTTCATGTCTAGTGACTCAAGGATCCTTACCTTCCGTGTCATGTCTCAATTGATATCACATTTCAACAGACTAGTAGTTATTTGATAGACAAAATAATCTATTGAAATAAAATTCATTAGTCATTACATAGAAAAACTATACATAATATTTATTATGCAATTACAGAAGTATGATAAAAGATTTTGCTACTAAAAAGTCAACTAGAAATTTCAGAGAAAAGTTTTCATCTTCTATGATATCTGGTGTTATTATTATTAGCAGCTTACTCTCAAAGTAGATAGAAACAGCCTAGGTGCAATAAATTCATGATGGTAATGATATTAAATGCGACTGAAATATAATATGATTAGTTTAAGAGAAATAAGATTCTAATTTCACATGACACAATTTGCTTAAGAGAAAGATGTGTAGAATGTCACATAACTCGGTGAACACAAAATAGATGGCATGATTTATTTGAGAAACAAAAATTTTATATAAAACATTTAGATGATAACAACTATAGGCACGAACATTACTGAAAACTTGCAAGTCTAAACTTTAAATCACTTCCCTTATTCCATGACTTGCAGTAAGAGATTTTATGTTTCTAAGCTGATTGTTGTCAACGTAAATAACGATAGTAAAGTCATTCTATATCTCATGTTCTTTTGGGCACTATGTGAATGGCCAATACAAATGTGGTAAATATTGAATATTTCGATTGTGTGCAATTGAATTTAAGTAACAAAACTGGCATGCATATCACATGCAGAGGCAGAGTGGCTGTGTGTAGCACATAAAGTCCCTCGTTTCTGTAAGTGTCTCTTCTTTTTCCTGCTCTGTGAAAAAATGAGGAAGCAGAGGCTGGGTGTTAGCTTGGCATTAGGCGTTGTGGGTTGTTTTAGTGGCTGTAGGTATTTTGGCTCTGTGTTTTTATTGAGAGTTTAGAGATATTTGCAACAATGGAACCCCATGAAGCTGATGTGCCTTCTGGATAGAATGTTTCTGCTCAAAACCAACAATCCCTCTCATGCAGCCTACAAAACCCAAGGGCACCAGCATGGTAAGATTTCATTCACTCACTTTCCACTTGTGTATGCCTTATGGTAACGATGAAAAGGGAGATCATAGAATAAACAGCGCACGTGCTTTTCTTTCCATTTTGTGCTTCCTTTTTAAATGGGCAGTGATAAATAGCCATACTCAATTCCAAGGGATTCAGTAGAGTGGAGGCTAGGCTATGTTTGTTTCCCGAAAAACAGTTTCCGGGAAATCACTTTCCAAACTTTCTTGTGTTTGTTTGTTATTAGGAAAGTTGGTCAACGGAAAACACTTTCCGGTCAACGGAAAACACTTTCTGGTCAACGAAAATATTTTTTAGTCAAAAAATTTTTTTGCTTAATTTTCAGGAAAATGTTTTCCTTTTTAGCTGTGTTTGTTTTTCGGAAAGTGGTTTCCGGGAAAACACTTTCCAAACTTTCTTGTGTTTGTTTTGCAGAAAGTGATTTCTGGGAAATCACTTTCCAAACTTTCTTGTGTTTATTTGCTGTTATGAAAGTTGATAAAAGGAAAACACTTTCCAGTCAAAGGAAAATTTGGCTTGATTTTCAGGAAAGTGTTTTCCTGAAAAATTTGGGAGGAAAACACTTTCCGGAAGTTGTGAAAAGTTTAGAAATGTCATTATTTGCTGATTATATCAAATTTGATCCTCAAACTTTTGATTGCTATATATATTTTGTTTTGAATATTTATTTTTCAATTTCATTTCTTAAAATTTAATTTTTATATTTAGTTTGGTCCTCATTTTTATAATTGTTATTTGCTTTTCTCCTATTAGTTTTTTATTGAAATTTTTTTCTATCAAATTTGGTCCTCGTTCTTTTGATTGTTATTTATTTTATTTGAAATACTTTATGAAATGTTAATTATTATTATTTTAATTTCTTCATTTTTTTTTTTAGATTTGATCTTTATTATTTTGATTATTATTTATTTTATTTGAGATAATTTATGAATTTTTTTTTCAATTTCATTATTATTCAACTTTTTAATTTGTAAGATTTATTCCTTATTATTTTAATAAACTTGAGAAAAATAAAATATTAATAAATTATTTTCCAGTTCATTTTCCATGACATAACCAAACACTGGAAAGTGTTTTCCAGTTCATTTTTCATAACACTACCAAACATCGGAAAATACTTTACTTTTCAGGAATTCATTTTCCCCGAAATTCACTTTCCCGAAATTTACTTTCCAAAAGGAAACAACTTTCCTGCAAACAAACGGGGCCTAATGCCTTCTTGGTTAGAATTTTGGCTAATAGAAATGTTTACTTCCAAGACTAGTTTTATCCATTCATTTGGTGCACTGGGCTCAAATTTCATGGAGAAAGCAGCAAATATTTGATCGTTGCTCTACACTACTAAGCGCAGGGATTTGAGGTCTAGAAGAAAAATCCATCTTGATTTTTAGGCATACTTTATGCTGTAAACATATAAAGACAGGCTTTACCTGTCTTCCTTTTTGCTCTGTCAACAAGTTGTGTATGATTTTTGCTATTGCGCATATGCCTTGAAAGATGCTACACTTTTCCAGTTTCTGTTCTGCTTTAGTTAAACCAACATGCTAGTAATGATATCTAAAGGATTTGTCGTGGCAACTTTGATACAAGGATATGAAGGAAAGTAAGATGAGGACTTGGGATGTATAGAAAACATACATGAATACTGGTGTTTAATTTATTTGTCTATCATCAGGATAAGGAAATCTATTTCCATTGAATCAAGTTCATGCCTGTTATATCAAAATAATGGAGAAGATAGACAAGGAGAGCATAACAATTTGAAATTTTTTGGCAACAAGTGGGTCTCATATTGTTTACTGGTTTATTGCTTGCTTTCTGCTATGACGTGTGGAGGTACTTTCCCCCTTGCGGATTAGTATGTTTTTATGCAGTCGCAACTGAGCAACTCAGGGTATAATTGGTTGACAGTATTTAGACTTTCAAGCTGTTTTTTAGAATTTTGAGAATTGAATCATTGGCAAAAATACATCTGCGAGTCTGCATCTTGCAGAGTATGGCCAGTAGTTTTTGTGAAGATGGTAAAAAGGGGAGGTCAAAAATTGAGGGGCTAGATCAATATGCAGATTCAAGGCTATGATTATGGATATCTCCAAACAAAAATCAAATTCGAGGAGCAAAAGAAAGTTGAAATGTCAAAATGAAGAGAGGATTTCCTCAGATTCTTTTATTTCTTTGAATTTCTCCATTATTGACATTTAATCTCTCTGTTTCTTGATTTTTCCAACGAGGCACAGGCGCGAGAGTATTTTGGTAGTTCATCCGATGTGATCATTGTACAACTAGTTTGTTTCATCTTATTTTACCTTTGGTAATTAAACTGCAGACATTATTATTAGGAATGGTCGCTTTTAGGAATTTAGCTAGCCAGATACGGTGTTTGCTACCCACCATTGTGGCTCGAGGTCCAACTGTGAAGTAGAGATGTTACTGTGGTCTAATGTTGCACCCTGACACAAATCCCCAGCCAAGTTTCCAATCCATCGAACTCATGGTGCATGAATGCCTGGACTCTGGCTTGTGTTCTCGCAGCTTGTGTTGGTTTACAAAAGCCCTGAGAAAAAATTTCCTCGGTCATATAACAAGACATGGGTTTTTGTCTACCGCTTTGACCGATAAGGAATGGAGGATGTAGTGACATGCTTAAATCCTCTCAAATTTGGATTTAAAAAAAAAAAGTCATCACAATAAATTTGGTGGAATAATACCATTTCAAAATTGTTTTATGTAATATCACCGTTTGATCATGTCATGCCTCGAATTGGTTGGAGTAAGTTATATAAATTAATCAATTATTTTACACCAAAATTATAATTTTATAAAAAGTTTCTTTTAAATATATTTTATAAGTCAAAATTATCTTTATCCAACTTATAAATTAAAAAATAAATTTTAATTAAAATTTTAAAAAGTTATTATTCACGTAACAGTGAATAATTCTAAATAGTTAAATTTAAGTTTGTCATAAACTAAATAAAAGTTTGCTATCAAATAAATTACGTGGATTATCTAACAAATGCATTTATAGATCAGTAAGACAGGTCTAGGTTCAAATTTTTTTGTGATCATGTAATATCAGAATAACAATTTAAAAAAAATTTAATTTTTGATTTGATCATAGAATCATAATTAAATTTTTATAAAAGTTTCTAGTGGGCTATTTTTTCTAAAATTATCATTGCATTTCTATACGAATCACCAAAATTTTAGATATAAAAAAATTTATTGAAGCTTTTGATTTTGGTAATTTTAAGATTTTTTTTGTTATTTTTAAAATTAATCAATTGATTTTATTAACTATTATAAAAGTGGAGTTAGAAATAGCATGGTTTGAAGAATTTTTTTTTTAATTTTGTTTATTAATTTTCTAATTTATCCCTCAAAATTCTCAATCTATTTTTTATAAGACAATGATTGTCGGCTATTCTGAGAGTTGTGATGTCTTCTAGGCATCATCAACTAGATGTTGGAAATTTACTTTTCCAGCAGCCTGAGATGATTTTGCTGTACGATTATATCACCAGATTCATCTGCTCATTCATTCTTATTTTATCTAAAAAATAATAAATAAAGAAGATGGCTAAAAAATCCAAATTTTTTTTAATCTTAGTTTAATTCAATTAAAGGTTACTTTGACCTCTCAAAATTCATACTAAAAATTATGAAGAACATAGACTGATAACCAAATATTTTGAACCAAGCAAAATATTTTCACAACAATGAAATTCTTTAACGTGCATGGTAACAAGATAGAAAACAATAAATTTCACTTCACAGAAACATGACATGCAAACTTAATTTATCATCCCTAATGCACAATCAGGACAAAAGGACTCTTTCTTTCCTAAAGTAGATAATCATCGGTTGTCAATGCCAATGAATTTCTTTAATATTAGGTATGTCTCTTTTTTATTATAATTTTTTTTATTAACATAGATGTACTAGAAT